GCAAATTTGAGATTATTAAAATTTTTAATATTAGCTTGCAAAAAAAAAGATTTAATTTAAAAATATTTTACTCTTTTAAAAGGTTTTATTTTTAATATTTTAAGAAAAGTTTTTCCTATTTTTATTTAAAAAAGAGTTTTTCATTTTTATATTTACAAAAGTTTTAGTTTTATAAAAAAAAGGTTTTAATTTTTATTTTTAAAAAAAGAGGTTTTGTTTAATTTTATTATAAAAAGATTTTTATTTAAAAATAATATTTACACAAAAAAGAGGTTTTTAAAACAATTTTCTTAAGTTATAAAACAATTTAAAACAATTAAAAAACATAATTTTAAAAAACAAAATAAAAAAATAAAACATAAAGGGGTTGGGTCGGTCATCACACCCGGACCCAACCCGGTTAGTGGTTTAACTAGAAAGCAATTAGGGTTCTGGGAACCCTAATGTCCCTTGCGGCGCCATTCACGTCTTCTTCTCTCATCTCTCTCGCGATCGCCATGCGTCTTCTTCTTCTCTCATCTCTATAACCTGAAACAAAATATGAAGGTCGTGAGGAAAACGTCTCAGGGCTCACATTTATAGCGAAGCGGCCGATGATGAGGTGATCTGAGGCTTGGAGTTGATTGCCCGCCGTTTGAACGGCGAAGGTGATCTCCTCCTTCGGTGATTCGCGGTTGTTGATGTTGGTTCGTCAGTGAACGGAGGCGATGATGAGGGTACCGGTCCCTCTGAGTCTCAACCACGCCGTTAGGGTTTCGTTCGTTCTCCTCTTTCTCGTGGCCACCCGTTATCCTTCCTTTTGATGGTGAGATCGTTCCCTTCTTATACTCTTCCGATTTCATCTTTCTGGGCCTTTAATCCGTGTTGGATTTGTGCTATTTGATTTTGATGATTCGATTTGGGATCTTTGATACGATTCTGATTTTATCTGACATTGATTGGATTTCATTGGATCTGTTTGATATCTGAAATTAATTTGTTTGACTGATCTGTACTGATTCGTTTGATTTCGAACTGATTCGTTTTTGACTGATTTGTTTGATTGATTCAGATTGAGTTCCAATGGGGATGTTTCCTGATACGATTTGGATCTGACTCGAAACTTTCCATTTCCAGAACTCCTTAATTGATTCGATTTTGTTTGATCATTTTCTGATGTACTGATTAGATTTTTGCAGATGTGGATTGGATTGCCTTTGAATTTCACTTGATCTGTTTGACATCTGACTTAATTCGTTTTTTGATCTCGAACTGATTTGCTTGATTGAAACTGACTCGTTTTCGATTTGGCAATTTTGATGCAGTTAGCTTTTCCTCTTCTTCTTTCAGAGAGGGCTGGTATCGAGGCTTAGGTCGAGTCAAACGCCGGGAAAGGTATACGGCGATGATGTTCATCTGAGCCGTGACAACTGATACTCTTTGATGACGCTGCGATTGCTTCTGATGATCTTTGCTTGTGGTTTATCATTTGTTGCGATTTCTGGCTTTTTGCACTTGTTTCACTCTCTGAACTGGTGTGTTTTGTTTGTTCTGAACTGGTTTGATCTTCACGACCTTCTTTCCTTTTTTTCAGAAACGCTACTACGCCGCGGTTGCCTTTGAGATCGGTTGCCTTCGATGCTTGATTGGATTCAGAACATGAGTTCTGGGCTGCTATTTTGAATCATGATATGGTTTCGTGACCTGTTTTATTTCTGAACTGATATGCTTGTGACAACCTAACCTGTTTCAATTCTTAATCCTCAGGTCAGCTGCTTGTACCCAACTGTGACGTTTAAACTTTCTGTTTTAGGGCAATGATGCTCTGACTGAGCCCTTCAGAGAAGACGCTATGATCTCGTTTGTTGCTCGTGCTGTGAGCCGAATGGCATGTTGGTTTGTCATGATGACTTGCCATCGTTAATTGCTTTTTCTGGTATGATGTGATTTGGCTGCTGCTACACCATGTTTGATGCTGTTGTGTATGAAGCTTGACATTAATCGATGCCTCTGAACTTTGATACAGCGTATGATGCTGTTGTGATTTGCACTTCGTTTTTCTGATACTTTGTTGAGGCCATTCAATGCAGTTTGGTTTCATTTCATTTCTGTTCTGTTTTAGGCTTGGTTTTCGTTCTGTTTTGAACATTGGCCTTCATTCTGTTTTGAACATTGGCCTTCATTCTGAACCTTTGTAACAGATTTGTTTCTTTGGTGCCTCTTCATACTTGTACTAGCGCGAGCTCCTTCTTGCCTAGTTTTGTTTATGCGGCTGGTTTATGCTTTGAGTTCTGTTGTACTGATGATGTTTGTGGCTTTTCAGGTGTTGGAATCTTTCGAAACCAAAGCGACTCAGACCTGCCGGCATCCGGGTCTGAGTCCAAACTTGCCTATGTTGCCTTATTCTCGTATCAGTTTGGAAATCCAATCGCGGCAAAACGAATCAGTCCCGCTTCTTTTATTACTTCTATCTCTCGGATGTCCCGTACCGATAAGAACAGGTGTTACCTGATCTGACGCCCACGGCGCGGATCGGTAACGGGGGTAGGACGCAGCTTCGGTTGTGCCACTCCCGGCACTCGATGATGACATTGTTCTGAGAGTGTCAAAAACAACTTCTAACATTTTTTCTATATTGTTTGTTTTGTTTTGATGTGCAGGTGAATTGGAGATTCTGCGGAGAAGCTCAAGGACATCATGAAGACACTTAGGAATTTTTAGGATTTAGGATAGATACTTATTGTAAATGAATCTTCTTGTAAACCAAGTTCAAATTCACTTATCCATTTGTAAACTGTAAATATTTATGAAATGAAATTCAACAAATATTCATATTTACTTTCTCAATTGTAAATTCAAAGTATCCATGAATAATAATTTAGAACCATTTAAATCCCCTCTTGAGTTGTAACTTATAAGTACTTATGAACACAAAGTTCAAAATATTTAAAACTTACTTCTCCTTTGCCTTTTATAAATGATACCCCGCCATATGATTATATCCAAACAAATTCAAATTAAAATCTCGTTGATCACATCACTTCTCAAAATAACCTTAACAGTATCCACTTCCTTTTCAACCCAACTTCATCTTATTAAGAGGAAACAAAACTGTTTAGAAATGTTTCAAAATCAAACAAAGCACGGCCCCGAGTCCAATCATATTTCTGACAAAACATACCGGCACCTTGACCCAAGTGGCAAATAAATGCCTCAGAACTTAATAACAGCCCGTTTTCAAGGAATTAGCAGAATTTGCGTAAAATGACCAAAATACCCCTGGAACCAAATCTGCAAAACAAACACCTCCATAACTTGTTAGTGGTTAGCAAATGTACATATGAGATGCTATGCGAAATGACTGACTAAATATAAGGGTAAAATTTGGGGTATTACAGCTTGGAACAAAAAAATTAACAAATTCTTCATGAAAATTGGATTTTGAAAGTGTAACAATGAATATGGTGTTTATGTTAAAAGAAAAGATGGAGAATGTTTACTCATTATTTGCCTTTATGTAGATGATATTCTAGTAATAGGAATTTGTGATAAATAAATTGATCAATTCATAGCTAAGATGAAATGTCTTTGAGATGACTGACCTAGAGAAGCTAACTTATTTTCTTGGCATGTAATTCTTAGACACCTTAGTGGGAACGGTTGTATATTAAGCAATATACAAATGAAATATTGACAATACTCAATATGCTAAAATGCAACTTGCTTATCACACCAACAAACACAAGCTTGAAATTTGAAGAATTAGATATATCTGAAGAGGAAAAGTTAGATGCTACCACTTTCATACAAGTGGTAGGATCACTAAGGCACTTGTGCCAAAACAAACCAAACATAAGTTTCTCGATTTGATTGATAAGCAGGTTTTTGAGTAATCCTCTTAAACTACATTTCAATGCTAAAAAAAAGAAATAATTAAATGCATTAGTGGCACACTACATTATGGTTCTCCTATCTCATTGGTTTGTCTAATGGTGATAAGATTCTTAGGAGCATTTGTGTCATGGTTCTGAAAGAAGCAACAAATATAACTTTATCTAACTGTGAATATAGGTGTTGCTGCTATTTTTCAAAAAATTAGCTTAAATCCTTGTTGAATGATTTGAGGGTCAAGCTCAAACAATCAATCAAGCTGCTTATTAATAACAAATGAGCCATCAATATAGTCAAAAATCTCATTCTACATAAGAAGAGCAAACACATAAAACTTTATAAGAGATCAAGTCACAAAAGAAAACTTAATGTTAAGTATTATTCAACAAAAGAATAAGTGGCCGGTATGTTCTCTAAAGCAATCAAAAGAATGCAGTTCATAAAATTGTAAAGGTAATTATTTAAAATTATAGCATTTGAAAACTTAAATTAAAAATGAATGTTGAATTTAATTCAAACTTTGAGATATTTAGATAGTTAGTTATTCATAACTAACTCAGTCCGTTAATTTTCTATGTTGAGAAACTATAATATTAAACTTAGTCAATTTCACCTATAGTCTTTTTATTCATGATCAATAGCATGTCATATTTAACAAAACGTTTCATTTACTTCATAATTTTCATGACTGGTCTATTTGTATAGATATTAAACAGAGGAAAGAACACAAATAGACAAGAGAATTGGTATTTAATTCCTTTCCTTTTTAAGCCCTTCAAGTTAAGACAAAACACACCCTTTATCTTCGTCTTTTATGCATTACTATCTTCACGTGCACTTTCTTCTTTTGATCACAATAGACTCATTAAAATAATCTCTAAATAAGTTAATCAATTCATTAATTGAACTAAAATAAAAAAAACAAAGTAGTTTTATGACAAGATTTTTTATTTCAAAAAAATTTGTAAACAATTAAATACAATAAACATTTTTCTCAATTTATCATCTCTTTTATTTATTCTAAATAATTCTTCAAATCCATTCTATTTTTCACATTATTTTCTCTTCTCGCTCTCTTCATAACCAATTTCACACTCTACATTCCATAATAACATTAAGAATAGTTAAATTTAAACTTTACCACCTGCACCTGCACCTGCACCACTACCGCCACCTCCTCCACCTGCACCACCTCCAAAACCGCCACTAATACCGCCTCCAATACCAAATCCAAAGCCACCACCACTTCCAAAGCCTCCATCAAGACCTCCTCCACTTCCAGAACCTCCACCAGCTCCACCTCCAAAACCTCCCCCACCTCTACCAAAGCCACCACCGGCACCTCTACCAGATCCACCTCCAACACCTCTTCCACCTCCACCTCCAAATCCTGCACCATGACCAGCACCTCCGCCAAATCCTCTACCACGGCCAACACCTCTACTTCTTCCTCCCGCTACACCACCACCATTACCACCTCCACCACCACCCCCAAAACCACCACCACCACCACCTCCACCATTTCCGTTTCCACCACCACGTCCAAACCCTCCACCAAAACCACTTCCACTTCCTCCTCCTAAACCACCCCCACTACCACCTCCACCACCACCTCCAAAACCACCACCACCTCCACCATTACCACCTCCAAAACCTCCACCAAAACCTTGACCTGAACCACCACCTAAGCCACCAGCACCAAAGTTGTCACCAAAATCATGTTTCTTTATTTTTCGGCATTCACATGTTCCTATCACCAACACAAATACAACAACAAATACTCCAACATACTTATATAAACCACCCATCTCAAATTCCACAATGCAACACAGAAAACTGTATCACAACTCTAAAACCTTGCTTTGCACTTGTGATGAGAATGACCGGCAAGAACCTCTATTTATAGAGACACATGACATGACATTAAAAGAGTGTCAAAGTAAAAACCATGCACGCGTAAAAAATGTAAAACCTGCACCTATCACCAAATTATATGAGTAAGACTACATTTATAAACTAATCATGAGGCTACAGACTTCATACGGTTACTGTCATCTATAATAGGTTAGGTTGCTCCACCATGTTTAGGCAAAAACTAATTTTGCGGCGTGTTGGCCCCAAGTCATATATGCATCGTGATAGATCAGGTAGATTATAGCCAAATATATCGGTGTCAAAATTAGTAGTAAGAGACTACATGTTTGTATAGTATTTTACCTGATTTTATTTTTGTTAAAAAAATAGCATTCCAGGGTGTATAGTTGGAAGCTTCATGAGTACTCCCTCTTATTACAGAATTGATATATATATATATATATATATATATATATATATATATATATATATATATATATATATATATATATATATATATATATATATATATATATATATATATATATATATATATATATATATATATATATATATATATATATATATATATATATATATATATATATATATATATATATATATATATATATATATATATATATAAAACAAAATTTTATATAAATTTTAAACTTATGGCTATGTGATCTACCAATTAATATTTACATATGTTTTATTCGTCTATTTTATAAATTATAGTTATTTTTAGTCTACTGAAAAAATTATAATTGTTTTATATAAATTTTAAATTTATAGCTATGTGATCTACCAATTAATATATATATATATATAAACAAAAATTTTATATAAATTTTAAACTTATGGCTATGTGATCTACCAATTAATATTTACATATGTTTTATTCGTCTATTTTATAAATTATAGTTATTTTTAGTCTACTGAAAAAATTATAATTGTTTTATATAAATTTTAAATTTATAGCTATGTGATCTACCAATTAATATATATATATATATATATATATATATATATATATATATATATATATATATATATATATATATATATATATATATATATATATATATTTTTTTTTTTTTTTTTTTTATTCGTCTATTTTATAAAATATAGTTATTTTTAGTCTATTGAAAAAATTATAGATTATAGTTACTTTTACTTAAAATATCATCGTGATTGGGTTAACCTATTTTTCTATCAATTTTATCTTCTTTTAATGTGTAACTTACATAATAACTTTTATTGAAACTACTATTATTATTTTTTACATTATTTTTTATCTAACTTTCTACTATTAACTTCTTACGTAACTTCCATTTAAATTTATATTAAATAAAAAAATATTATTTAAATTTTTTATGTATATGCATTTAAAAAGCGGACAGACGGACAATCGCGTGCCCGTCTGGACGCTAGTATATTATAAAGGGAGACAAAATTAAAGGATTGAATGAATTTATATGATATATTAAATCTAAAGCGGTGGATTATATAACGACATGTGATAACGTTTCTAATTCATTTGTATCAAATCATCCAATTGTTCTATATGACACCTAGTTAAACTCATTTTTAAAATATCAAATGTAATAGTTATTTCCTAGTAGAGATCACGAGTTCAACTTCTTGCAAAGACAAAAAAAAATGTAATATTTAGTCTTTATTGAAAATCACAAATTCAACTCTTTACAAAGACAAAAATATTTTTAACTGAAAGTTCTAAGTTCAACTCCACACAAAAATATTTTTTAATCTAAATATTAAAATTGAAATTTTATTTTCTTTAAAATTATTTTTAAAAAAGCTTTTATAATGTCTTAAAATTGAACTACAAAAGACTTTGTTTATTTTTAATAAACAATAATTTCATTCAAAATCGAGAAAATCGAGTACAAAGGGTACTCGAAACCCAAACAAATTATCGAATCAAAACATTTGAAGTGGAGCGAGACAAAGGAGAATAAAACCAATCAGAAAACTAAGTGAATAAGAGGTGTTATTCGCAACACGGAGTCATTCTCACGATTTAATCTTAACACTCGACCAACACTCCTCAAACTTCAGAGCAATTCCTTTGAACATAACACCATTATGCACCAGCCAAATGTTCTAAACAGTCGCCAATCAAATAATACTAACCAATCTACGATCCTCCGCCACCATTACGCCAAAATTGATTTTTGGCAGCACTACATAGACAACGTTTTTTTTCCCAAAGCGCTGCTATAAGTTTTAAAAAAATTAACACTATTAAAAAAAGCGCTGCTAAAGACTAAATTTAGAAAGTACTGCTAAAGGCCATACATAGGCTACACCTTAGAAAGCGCTTCTGCAAAGCGCTGCTAAAGGCTAACTTTAGAAAGCGCTGCTAAATGTCATACATAGGCCACATATTAGAAAACGCTTCTGAAAAGCGCTGCTATAAGCCGAAGAAAAGAAAGCGTTTTTAATGCAAAAGTGCTGCTAAAGTTAATACATAAGAAAAGACTTTTAGAAAGTGTTGCCTTATGTCATTAATTTCGAAATAATAAAACACAAACTATTGAAACTCTTATGAACCCAAACTTTGAAACTCCCCCTCTCTCTCTCTCTCTCTCTCTCTCTCTCTCTCTCTCTCTTGCACGCGCGACTATTCTCTTTGTCGTATCTCCCTCTCTTTGCAAGGATACTCCCTCCGCCCGGCCTTCCTCTCTCGCGTCGGCTTAACCCTCTCTGTTTTGAAACTTCCTCTGTTCGTAACCCCCTCCGACCGGCTCCAATTCTGGACATACTCCATCTGGTCGTCGGCTCTACCAATTTCAGAACTCCTTCTTTTTTAGCAAGGTATTTCTTCTTTTCCTTTTTTGGATTCGTAAGCCATATAATAGATTGTGATGTTGTTGTTATTTGAATTCAATTGAAGCTTGAATGACATTGTTGGTGAATTAGTGTTGAAAATGTGAAACTAATGATATTAATTGTTGAAATTAATTAATGAGTTTGTTTGTTGTTGAAACAATTTAAATGAGACATTGGTAGTATTGATGTGGTTGTTGTTTGAATTTAATTTTAAAATTGTTGTTGTAGTAAGGTTGAAGATGATGAATAGTGATATTTGTGGTGAATTTATTTTGAGAATTGGTGTTAATTTTGTAAGTTGATGTTGAATGTTAGTGATGAATTGTTGAAATTAATTGATGATAATGACATTATTGATGGATAATTGTTAGTGATTACTTTGTTTTGATCTAATTGTTGATTGAAAATGATAATGAAATTAATTGTTAATTGTTGAGGTAGAAGATGATGAATAGTGATGACATTGTGAATTTATTTTTTATAGTCATTGGTGATGTTGTTTATTGAAACTTGAATGATATTTGTGAATTAATTGTTGAAGATTGTGATGTTGCGTGAATGATTAATGTTTTTCTTTAGCTTACTTAGTAAAACCATGGATAGAATATGGATGTCTTCCAATCAATTGTCAAAAGAGTACGGGAATAAGGTATCAGAATTCGTTAAGTTTGTTATTGAACACGTCAAAGACCTCAGTCGAATCACATGTCATTGCTTAGGTTGCTGTTATGGGCGTCAAATTGACGCACTTCAGTTGGAATCGCATTTGAAGAGGCATGAAATTGATCGAAGTTATACATATTAGATATTACATGGTGAGATAAGTAACGAGAATGTTGAACCTAGGGATTGTACGACCTATGCTTCAAACGACAATGGCACAGATACATACGATTTTGATCGAGTCGAAGAGATTGCAAAAGCACTTGAAGAAGATCTTAAGGATTGTCCCGAAATATTTGAGAGGTTGGTAAGCGATGCAGAGAAAGCGTTGTATAAGGGTTGCACTAAATTCACAAGATTGTTCTAAATATTCGTGTGTATATTTATTTATTTATGTGAGATTGTTCTAAATATTCGTTTATATTATGTTAGAGCTATACAAATATTTTGATCACAAAGACAAGCTCGAGTACCAAAGAGTAAAGCAAACAACATTACATGGATCAGAGTGCGGGTATATTTTTACAATTTTGATTATAACAGTGATGCTACTTGATAAAACAAGTTAAACTATATATCCTGATATATATTCGTATTTTTTTATGTGCAGTGTCCTCGTTAGCGTAATGGTATAAATTGCGGTTATTTCGTATTGAGGTTTATGAAAGAAACTATTCATTTGGATCAAATAGAGATTCCAAATATGGTATGGATTTATAAGTTAGGATTTATTTTAATATTTAATAGATATTTCATCTAATTAATTAGTTTTAACTAAATCACATAATGTTATATTATGTAGTAGTTTGATGAATTCAAATGTGCTACTTACTCGAATGATAAACTGGAAGAAATTAAGGAGAAATGGTGTCAATACATTCTTGAGATAATAATTATATAAGGTATATTGTCTTTCTTTCTTTTGTGTGAAGTTTATGCTCCTTAGAGATTTTTGTTGTTGTGATGTTCTGTACTGGATTGGAATAGTTCTGGAAGTTGTTGTGAAGTAAGGATTGATGGAATTTGTAATTATGTTTGGTGAATCTTTAGAAGTTAAAGGTTTTGGAAGTTGATATGTTGTTTTAGAATTATGGATGTTTTCTTGGTGTATGAGGTTTGTGTTGAATTATAATGGTTATAAGATTTATGTATTGAATTATAATGGTATATATTGAATTATAATAGTATATAAGGCTTATGTGTTGAAATAAAGGCTTGTGTTGAATTATAAAGGTTTGTGATAAATTTTGATAAAAATTTGAATTATAATGGTTTGTGCTGCCATTTTATAATTAAAAAATAAGACTTATGTCAACGCTTTTAACAAAAAACGCTTCCTAAAAAAGTGCATAATAGACCATGCTTTTAACAAAAAAACGCTTCCTAAAAAGTGCTTTTAAAAAGCGTTACTTAAGTGGAGAATAGAAAACGCTTT